TGCATTGTGAGCAACATGATGACTTTATTATTTGATTCTTCAACATTCACCGCTGCAGAATGATCCACAAATACACTATGCACTGCTCATGTATAATGAACATAGCATAAAAAAAAAAATACACCATATGCATGTGTCCATTTAGACGTTGCAAGGTTTTGTGACAAACACCCCACTGAAGCAATACAAACATCTGTGCCCAGAGATTTTAATAATCCAAAGGAGCTGCTTGCTTCAAATTAAACTAAAGTCAAGTCAAGTCTAGAAAAGTATACCTATGGCAGATTCCAAATATCCTTTCAAGAGAAGCTGTTCATGGTGTGTTCCTGAAAACCATGAAGATATGCATTTTGCAGCTTGTTCTATACTATCAAATTCCCATCTTTTCATGAATATAGCCTCTATAGCCAGGGATGTATCAGTCTGCAAGTAGGATGAAAATCATTAAGCACAACTCCCATATTGCAATGCATATAGAAGATGCAACATTAAGTCTAATTTGAGCGTATATGAAGATGCAACATTAGTCCTCTGAGCATTAATTTTGTTAATTTAATCTCTAAAATATCTAATTTGAGTCAACATGATTCAATTTCATAAGACAATCTAAATCGTTAATGAAATAGTAGTAAAGTCTACTTATTGGCTTTGAAATATGTGTTCCGTGTTGGTTTGTTTGATTGGCTTTTTAGAATCTAAAAAGCTAGTTGGTGAAAAAAAAATAAAAAAATCATGTTTATTTTTGTCCAACTAGTTTTTTATTTTAAAAAAATTCAAAACATAATTTTTGAAGACTCAACCAAACATTCTATGTTTGGTTTAACATAAAATGTTTATTAAAAAAAAAAATTTACATGAAAAATTTTGGTTTGTCTTCTCATTTTTCGGTGTTTTGACTGAAATTTGAAAATTTTCAGTTCAAATGAGCTTTGGTTTAAATCTAGTGTTTAAAGCATATCATCGAACACCTATTGCTCATACTTTTACAGCACCATAATCACATAACCTTGAAAGCAACGCTGTCAATTATAGCATTCAGATTCAATTGGAATGTAAAACATCCTAAGCAGAGATGAAAAACCCTAACCTTTGCGATCATCCGAGGCATCATGGAACTCCGTATCGTCCTCATCCTCCGCCGCAGACGCCGCAGACACTTGAGGCGCATTACCACCATCCTTCTCATCTGGATACCTCACAACCACCACAGGACAAACACAGTGACGAACACAGTAATTGCTAACACTCCCGAGCCTTCCATTGTTACCTCTCTTGATCGCACCAAACCCTTGGCTCCCCATAATCACTGCACTCAACCCTAGCCTCTCGACTTCCAAGCACAGCCTCTCCTTCATGTCGTGGTCCTTCACAATGTGGATCTTGAACGGTATCTGAGCCTCGACAAGCGGCTGAGCGAGAGACAGAGGGACAGCAAGAGAGAGACAGAACCGTGTGAAGAAGTAATAGATTTGGGGAAAAATTTAGGTGCCAATATGAAATATTTCCCCGAAAAATTTGAACACATCCGCAACTAAATTTTAGTCGCTAAAGATAGGTTATCAAAAATTGAAAAAAAACAAAATTTATTTTGGCGATTAAAATAATTTTTTGTCGCTGAAAGTAAGTTATTGGCGACTAAAACTTTAGTCGCCAAAGAGAAAAAATAATTTTTTTATTTTTCATTCGGCGACTAAATATTTTAGTAGCTAAAAATCAATATACGGCGACTAGATTTCTTTTTGTTGCTAAAAGTAAGTTTTTGGCGACTAAAATTTAGTCGTCAAATAGGAAAAATAATTTTTTTATTTTCCATTCGGCTACTAAATATTTTAGTAGCGAAAATTCAATATTCGGCGATTAAAATTTTTTTTGTCGCTGAAAGGACATTTTTGGCAACCAAAGTTTAGTCGCCAAAGAGAAAAAAAATTATTTTTTTATTTTCCATTCGGCTACTAAATATTTTAGTAGCTAAAAGTCGATAATTGGCCACTAAACTGATTTTTAGTCGCCAAAACCTATACTTTTGGCTACTAAATTTTTTTAGTCACCAAAAAGTTTTACTTTTGACTACTAATGTTGTTTTAGTCGCCAAAACCTATATTTTCAGCGACTAAAATTTTTTTTAGTCGCCAATTTGGTCGCCGTAGGTGCATTTTCTTGTAGTGCAGCCATGTGTTTAGCGTTTCTTTTTCGTGCCATCTGCGTAAGATTTTCCCCAGCCATATCCTCAGAAAAATCGCCGGGAAGGTCTCCCAAGTTTGTAAAAATATCTTTGAAGGCGTCCCCACAGCCTAATGTAGACGGAGGGTCAGAAGAGTTTAATCCGGCTTCCTCGAAGGCCGAATTAATAGCTTCGTCAACTTCAGCGGCCAACCGGTCTGGGTCCTTGGCGATTGGTTCGGCCACTTGTTCTTCCACGTGTTCAGAATCAGATGATTCTAAGCCAATTTGTCTCAAGTTTTTGAAGCTGGGGAAGATGAGGGCTGTAAGATGGTTATCGCCTCACGCGATCAGAATATTGTCTGTTGCCGAGAACGTCGTGTAACTTGGCTCGTACCGCGGCCGACGAACTGTAGCGCGGTTTTAATTTCTGCGAGCACAACGTCGTCGTCTAAAACCAACACTCTCTTCAAGTCGCTGCCTGCATAAACAAAACGATTAGATGAGCTTAGTGCCGAATACATACATATGTAAATAACAAAAACAAAGTGATCTGATCGGCCACCTGGTTCACCTTTTTGCCTTGGCACAGGGTCTAGGCGATCTTCACTTTCGCCGAATTCCCAATTGCCGCGGACAACGACCATCACGTCATCGACACGCTTGCTAGAGCTGGCAAGCATGGTCACTAAGTGATGATCAGTAGCCTTGGCTCTAAGAAAGTAGCGTCTTAGCCGGCCGGTAGATTTGGCTAGGACATAACAATGCCGAATGGCGGGAATACCTAAATTAATTCTAAGACGCCGATTTATCTCTACAATCCCCATTATGATGCAAAAAAAGTTCACATTGGGCTGGGAAGGGATCAGACCCCAGTACCGAAGAACGGCCCTCAAAAGTGGGTGAAGAGGAAAACGGACGCCACCCTCAGCAATTGATAGGAGAGGAAAGACGATTGTGCTCTTATCTTCCCTCACTATATCAGTGGTGCTGTTTGTCAAAAGTGACAGATGGACGTCGTCGGGGATGGAGAAATGGCGTCGAAAGTGGGAGATTCGATCCGCAGAAAGGAGCTCCTTCAGATGTTTTGCCATTTTGGCCAACCCAAGGATTATGGAAAACTAAAAGCAGATAAAAAAGGGGGATCAAAAATAAAGGACAAGAAAACTTACAGGAAACGAAGGAAAGAGCGAGAAACAAGGGGTTGCAGAAGTCACGAAATGTAGAAGTTGCACTAGAAGGCGAGCCAGATATCTTTGAGTATTCAGAACATACATTCGAAGAGACAAATTCAAATCACATTAAATGGAGGCAGTGTACGAAGGGGCGGGAAAGCGTTACAATGACCAAAAAGCATGTCTGCGTTCTGACACGCATTGGGAAGAGGAGTAACCGCCAAATTTTTAACCTCCAGACTAGAAGCCAAACACGCCGACTAACCGATGCTAGTGGGGTGTTTGGGGGGCAATTGTGGAAGTCGAATAATCTTGTATCAACAGGAGTGGACTAGTCCGGTCCAGAACATAACCTCTATTCGGCATTGACCCTATTCAATTGAAGGGCCGAATAAAATAGCCGGCATTTCTACTAGTGAAACAAGGGCCGTGCAGAAGTACATGTAAAGGACTAGGGTTGGGCCAGGCCCCAAAGCCCAAAAAGAATACTATAAATACAAGATCTTCAGTTCTAGAAAGGTATGTGAGAACAATTAAGCTTAACTTAGAATACAAGTAATCTTGAGTGCAGAGACTAACTTGCCCGTCGGAGTGCTAATTCCGGCACCCCCGACCGGAGTGTTTGTTCCTTTTCAGGTGACTAGTAGAGGATCATAAGTGTTCCCCAGGATCAGAAGAATATTTTCAAACCACATCCCCACAATACTGTATTGATAATATACACATTTCCACATTCTTCCTGCAGTTATGGGTCTATGTATACTTCATGGCTCTTGCTCCTGAGCCTTTAGATGAGGTGCCATTGACAATCCCACTTTCTCGGGTATACGACGGCTAGCTCCGCTGTAGGATGCACAAGTCCTTCATGTTTTTCCACCAGTACTTCGACATGGTCGCGGCGTACGAGGTAACTCAAGACACAGTTATCATCATTTTTACTTTACAATTGTTTTGATCCATGCATTAGCAACTAACAAAGACTAACAATCCATTCACTTCCATTTCAGATCACATGGCAACCTTGGGCCATGATGCCGATGGTTCAAATCCGATACACTGTAGCTCGAGGCATTTCTCAGCATCATATTCTTCTTGAGGGCTTGATTTGCCGAGATTAGTTCCTGGGCGAGCGTTTCGTTCGTTAGACCTTGGGCCTATCTGTCCCATTTATACCAATGACACCACCTGCATCTATGAGAGCGACACACAGCCTAACTTTTGACGAGGTGATCCAGTTCATGATAGGCCTAGAGGCAGAGTACTTAAGTGTAGATGGCGATTATGCAGTCTTTATCCAGACATACTTGATGTCATATCTGACTGGCGTTCGTGGGGGGTGAAGGAGCGAGAGCTCCTGCTGTGAGGGTGAGTCGCAAAGCGAGTCGGGCAAGCAGGGCCCGTGGTAGAGGGGCTTCCCAGGTGAGACAGGGGATTGGCTGGCCAGAGCTTCCCACTACACTTACCTGTTGGCGGCATACCAGCGAGGCTTTCCAGATCCCCATTAAGCCTGCACCAGCTGGGCATGAGCTTGTCGGGATTCAAGGCCTGACTCCAGTATGTACCATACTTTACATTTTGCATGTCAAATTCATTCCAATTATGCTTATGGAACACTGATCTTCTCAATGCACTTGCAAGCATCTATAGAGTACACCGGGGACGCTCTCGACCTGGCAGCTTCCTTGATGGGGATGGTACAGAGGCACATGAACTTGCTCAGTCTTTATGACATTCGGGTAATTTTCCTTCAGTTTACATCTCATGCCATTAAACTTTCCACTAATACACTAGCATCTCAACTGTAATCTGTTCCACACTGCATTGACGTGATACACTGCACACAAACACTGTATCTGACCCATATTACACTGATACACTGCACCTGACCCACATTGCACTGATACACTGCATCTGACCCGCATTGCACTGATACACTGCATCTGAATTCACATTGCACTTATCTGACACGTATACTGTGGTTGACATATGACAAACACCTTTTCAGGTCCCATTCGTTCCGATAGCATTAGCGGCGGCTGCAACAGGACCATCAGTACCCCCTCCAGCAGCAGGGAGGAGAGAGAGAGACTCCGACACGCAGTCGAGGCTGAGCTGGGCGCACTCGAGCTAAGAGTGGCCCTTCAGAGCCTATCCTAGGCGACGATGACACTGATACTAGTGAGACCGAGGAGGCGACGGGTCGGCATTCAGAGTCATCCGAGAGCGGGAATGGTGACACTGGTTCAGGTTCTGAGACTGGGGATGCTGATTGCAGGGAAGGCTCTGAGGAGGGAAGTGGAGATGGCTCCGGTTCAAACTCTGGCCCAGACTCAGGCAGTGGCGCCAATGGAGACAGCGCTGCAGAGTCTGCTCCGTCGAGGAAGAGGACGAAAAGGACCTCTAGATCCTAAGATGGATAGCGCTGATTTTTGTGTTTTTGCTTAGTTTCTTTTTGCTAGTAGCGTTAGCACTTTGTACAGCCTCAGACGGGTTTTATTTTGCATTAAAACCTTGTACTGCACTTTTGTAAAAAGTAGCCATGATCGTAATGAAAACCAGCCTTCATTTGAAAAAAGTGTTGTACTTTTGCATCATAAACACCCCATTGCATGAGATTGATATTGAATTTGACATTAAAAACCAAATATTTGTATTGCCACAACAGTCTGTATCGGGTAACGAACCGACCAACAATTGTAATAACAAACAGAGTAAAACAACTCGATAAACAACTAAACTACTCGACAAACAACACAATAACTCGGCAAATAAACAAAACAGCTCGAGAAACTAATTAACACAAATACAACACGATAAGCAGAACAAAATGAATTCAACTCAATGAACATGTCCAAGCCAAAACAGGACTTAAAACAAGACCTTGGAACACACAAATAACATAACAAAACTACTACATATAATTGAATCTTCACAAAGGAGGGCAGCAAGCACAAAAGGAAGGCTGCCGGCCATGTGGGGTGGCCTGCCGGCCATGTATTCCTCCTACCGGCCGTCAATGACCCCCTGCCGGCCATCAATGTGCAGAACCTCCAAAATGTTGACATCTGGCCTCCACTCAATGCCTTATCTTCTACAAAAGTTCCAGCTTCATGATTTCTTCATTCCAACTACTGTTTTACCCCAAATGGAG